GGTGGCCTTGCCAATAGCTCTTCCTTATTCACTACAGTTCTGTATGTATTAGTCACCTGTCTCCAGTTTCTCCTCCCTTATTCCCTACAGAACTCCCTTATTCCCTACAGAACTCTATAATACATGGTCGCCAGTATCCATTCACTCTCCCCTATTCCCTGCAGAACTATAATACTTGGTCACCAGTATCCATTCACTCTCCCCTATTCCCTACAGAACTCTATAATACTTGGTCATCAGTATCCATTCACTCTCCCCTATTCCCTACAGAAATCTATAATACTTGGTCACCAGTATCCATTCACTCTCCCCTATTCCCTACAGAACTATAATACTTGGTCACCAGTATCCATTCACTCTCCACTATTCCCTACAGAACTATAATACTTGGTCGCCAGTATCCATTTGCTCTCCCCTAATCCCTACAGAACTATAATACTTGGTCGCCAGTATCCATTTGCTCTCCCCTAATCCCTACAGAACTATAATACTTGGTCGCCAGTATCCATTCGCTCCCCCCTATTCCCTACAGACACCTGTATTAATCAGTTGCCGGTCTCCAGTCGATCCTTTCTTGTACTTGATTGCTCACATTCAAGCTTTTTATTTTGCAGCGGTTTGATCCGGTGACACAGATGGATGCCGGAGACTTTTCCTGTGAGGCATCAAACTCCCAGGGGAAGCAGAAGTCGGCCGCCATTCGTATGGAAATCAGTAAGTATCAAGGGGGGTTTTTTTCTTCTGACATGTATTCTCGTATCCCACAGAGGATGTGAATGTTGGAGGAATTGTAGCCGCCGTCATCATCAGCCTCCTGCTTCTTGGACTGATTGCATTTGCTGTCTGGTTCGCCTATCACCGCGGATATATCGGCAGTGAGTATTGATCTGGCAGCTCCTCTGGGTAGTGCTTGCTTCTAGTTCTGATTACCTCTACATGTAATAGTGAGGAGGCTGAAACACTGCAGATGGCCAACTCTTACTATAATAGAAACAATATTATCAATATTCATCTTCAGGCTTCCAGTTATGGTGCAGTGGGAGGTGGGGTTTGTCATGTAGCTGGGGTGATGGTTGTGATGTAGTAGGAGGTGGGGGTTGTGGTGTAGTAGGAGGTGGGGGTTGTCATGTAGTAAGGATGATGGTTGTGGTGTAGTAAGGGTGATTGTCGTGTAGTAGTACTGCAAATGGTGGGGGTTGTGGTGCAGTGTGAGTTGTATGTAGTAGGAGGGGGGAGGGTCCTCATGTAGTTGGGGTGATGGTTGTGGTGCAGTGGGGGTTGTCATATAGTAAGGGTGATGGTTGTCATGTAGCTGGGGTGATGGTTGTGGTGTTGTGATGTAGTAAGGGTAATGGCTGTGGTGTAGTAGGAAGTGGGGGTTGTCATGTAGTACTGGAAATGGTTGTCATGTAGTACCGGTGGGGGTTGTGGTGCAGTGGGAGTTGTGGTGTAGGAGGTGGGGGTTGTCATGTAGTAGGGGTGATGGTTGTGGTGTAGTAGGGGATGATGATTGTCGTGTAGTATTACTGGAAATGGTTGTCATGTAGTAGGGGTTGTGGTGTAGTATAAAGGTGGTTGTAATACTTTGCTAAATTTCCCTTTTTTCTCGTTTCAGAGAAAGCCAAGTAAGTGGATTGTGAAGCGTGCCGTCTGCTCTTTGCTAGTCTCTGTGGCTGTTCAGTGCCTCTTGGGTACTCTTGTGATGAGTCTGAAGCCTGGTGTATGGGATAATGAAGACTTTGTACTATGTCATCTCCATCCGCTGGATTAGAAGAAAGGATATTCCAAGATACTTTGATAAACTTCTCATCCTCCCCATTTTCAGCTCTCTTAGGCTTCAGTCACACAGGGTGATGTGGCAAGAACCTATGGCTTCTTGCTACAGGAATGCTAGATGTCCTCGTTCAGATGCACCCGCTGGGCCCGTTCAAGTAAATGACCGTGTGACAGCAGCCACCTCTGCAAGTGGCAGTCTATATGTAATCCTATCCTATGCATGTGGACTGCGGCTTACAGAAGCGGCTGCCGTCACCCCGTCTTTTACTTGAATGGGCGCAGCGGTCGCAATGCGTAGGTTTCTCTCACAGGAATCCCAGATGGCACCGTGTGAATGGGGCTTTAGACTCTGAGCCGGCCCATTACAGTATACTATGAGGGGGGCTTTTCTCTGTTATATGGGAACATTTCTCTGTGATTGTCTGTGTGTCACACCTGCACAGCCCATTGATTGGTTTACAAGGTCTGATGGTGTCACCATGTTCATATTGATATTGTAGTTTCACCTTACTGCCTTCACGTGTCGTCCTGCACACACTCCTACTGATGGTTTAGTGTCACATTGCCCCCTCCAGGTGTCGCTCTTCCTCTGTTACTGATGGCATATAGTCGCCCTGCTCACACTGATGGTGTAGTGCTATGTTGCCACCTCCACATGTCGCTCTGTTACTGATGGCATATAGTCACCCTGCTCACACTGATGGTGCAATGCCACGTTCCCTCCCCTAGGTGTCACCCTGCTCTGTTACTGATGGCATATAGTCACCCTGCTCACACTGATGGTGCAATGCCACTTTCCCTCCCCTAGGTGTCACCCTGCTCTGTTACTGATGGCATATAGTCACACTGATAGTGTAGTGTCACATTGCCCCCTCCAGGTGTCGCTCTTCCTCTGTTACTGATGGCATATAGTCGCCCTGCTCACACTGATAGTGTAGTGTCACATTGCCCCCTCCAGGTGTCGCTCTTCCTCTGTTACTGATGGCATATAGTCACCCTGCTCACACTGATAGTGTAGTGTCACATTGCCCCCTCCAGGTGTCGCTCTTCCTCTGTTACTGATGGCATATAGTCACCCTGCTCACACTGATAGTGTAGTGTCACATTGCCCCCTCCAGGTGTCGCTCTTCCTCTGTTACTGATGGCATATAGTCGCCCTGCTCACACTGATAGTGTAGTGTCACATTGCCCCCTCCAGGTGTCGCTCTTCCTCTGTTACTGATGGCATATAGTCGCCCTGCTCACACTGATAGTGTAGTGTCACATTGCCCCCTCCAGGTGTCGCTCTTCCTCTGTTACTGATGGCATATAGTCGCCCTGCTCACACTGATAGTGAAGTGTCACATTGCCCCCTCCAGGTGTCACCCTGCTCACACTTTTTTTTTTCTTATTTGCAGTAAAAAAGTAATCTACAGTCAGCCATCGGAGACGCGCAGCGATGTAAGTACAGTAGGGCCTTCATTGTGTAGTCATTGGGAAGATTTTAATATGAATGGTCTCTCCAGCTAGAATTATTCCAGTCGTGTGGTGTCCAGCAGACAATCGCTCACCAATTTCCATTTAGTGGTCAGGGTAGGTGGGGAGAGCTCATTTCATCAATGGGATCCCTAAGAAACCAGATTACTAGCATAGACCCAGAATTGCAATCTGGAATGGTCCTGTTAGTGGTTGTTGCTCTGTGGCACACTCATCCCCCCCCCACCCCCCGGAATTCATTTGCATGTTCCATATGTATCCTTATTCTTGTGGCCCTCAATGGACAAGTGAGAATAGGGGATTTTTGTATTTGAAATCCTTTTTTCATTGGCCATTAAGGGACACCCACCCTTCTGTGTTTATGTCCATGTTCTCAGTACTCCTTTGCCACAAAACTTGGACAAGCTGGTAGTAGGGGGTGGTTATCCTGGACTGCATTTTGGTTTCCAGTGTTCAGGCCTCATTTAGGTGTCAGTATAAACCAACCGTATTAGAATTCCTGTGTCCCTCAATGAACCCCAAGAAAAGGATTATCAGTTCAAATGTCTTTTAAACCACCTTTGAGGAATACTAATGACATTTTTCATTTTTTTTATTTCAGAAAAACTTCCAGCAAACTTCATCCTTCCTGGTCTGAGTCTCCTCCTTGTTGGGGGGAATCTGTCATTCCTGTTCTCTGCTGTGGCCTTTCATCTTACCAGAGGAATACAATAGCCCCACATCTCTGACTTCTGGGTCTGGATGATGATGGGGGTGGGGGGGGGTGTTGTGTGTGTGTGTGTGTGATGCTGAATGTGTGCAAGAGCGAGTGGGCTTTAGATGTAGTATGTTATTTATAATTCTGTCCTAAGACCTTGTTTGCCTTGTTTTTTGATAAAGCCTTCTGCTGACGTGCTGGACATTGGGTGAGCCAGTAACAACGCATTCCTGATTTTTGCCTATGAATCCATATTTATTGATTATCACTTCCGGTCAGCCTTTATGTTTGTGTTTCCTGTAGTATGGGCAGGCCCAGTAGGTGGTCTTGCTGGGGGGACAGACTAAATGCCTCCAGCTATTTGGTGACACTATCCACTTTTTGGTTCATCGGTTGGTTTGGGGCCACACGAATATCACTACTGATCAATATTACTTTATGTGGCAACACCTGACTATTATTAAAAAAAAAAAAAAAAAGCTGAACTGTCCAAAATAAATTCTGACATTTAGAATCTCCTTGACAATAAATGATGTAGAAGTTTGTAATCTGATGGGCGGTGAGATGAATGAATTGCATTGCCCTAACATGGCCACAAGATGGCAGGGGTGTACAGGTTATGACTGAGCCGCTCTAAGAGGATGTTGTGTCGCCTACAGATCAATGTAGATGGGTGTCGGGCAGAGAGCCCGTGTAGAGGGGCGTCTAAAAATGTGTCAATGTCTCCCAAGTGTCCTGGGAAGAGTTGCAGGGCATCTCCCATATAGGGCTGGAAAAAAGGGATGTCCCCAAGGGCCACAATATTCCCTTATATACTGCTGTGATGTATGGAAAGTCTAATATGACTATGCAGCATTCATATATGGTCTCTGGCAGGCATTTTGTAATGACCTCCGGTGGTAAAGGGACATTTTATGGTGGTTTTATTTGCTGTCTCTGGAAAAGCCTACCTTTTTGGAAGTGTCCTCTTTGGTCTAAAGCTGAAACTCCCTAATACAGGGACATCAGAAGGATCATATATTAGGCTGTGAGTCTGATGGGTCCTACCAGGAGCATTCCGTGATGTGCGAAGCATTGTCACCTGATGTGAAGGCGTAGATGGTATGGTCTCCAGGGTGGGAATAGTGCATTATGTGTGTGTTGTCACAAGTCGTTTGTCACTAATGATGTGGGGAACGGGTTTTGTAGAAGATGATTTTGGGGGGGAGGGATGTGTTGTGCTTTCTAAAATGTTTTTATCTTGTATTTTCTATCATTTTTAAATCCACATTTTGGGAATAAATCTCCAGAATGAAATAAATATCTGTGTGCGCTGTGTTCTTGTATACTGGGAAAGGGGCAGGGAGGGTGGAATTACCAGGTCAAAGTTAAAGGATTCCTAGCCATGGCTCTGTAGTGTTCATACAAGGTGGTTGTACAGGGTGCGTATGCCCTATATTACCAAAAGTATAGGGACACTCCTCCAAATCATTGGATTCAGGTGTTCCGTGAAATTTCCTTGCTACTAAATATTCTACGGTCACCTGTTAGTTGTATTATAACAAAGTGGAAGCAACTGGGAACCGCAACTCAGCCATGAAGTGGTAGGCCACTTAAAATGACAGAGCGGAGTCAGTGCATGCTGAAGTGCGCAGAAGTCGCCAACTGTCTGCAGAGTCAATAGCTACAGACCTCCAAACTCCATGTGGCCTTCAGATTGGCACAACAACAGTGTGTAGAGAGCTTCATGGAATGGGTTTCCATGGCCTAGCAGCTGCATCCAAGCCTTACATCACCAAGTGGGATGCAGTGGTGTAAAGCACGCCACCACTGGACTCTAGAGAAGTGGCAACGTGTTTTCTGGAGTGACCAATCACGCGTCTCTGTCTGGCAATCCGATGGACGTGTCTGGGTTTGGCGGTTGCCAGGAGAGCGGTAATTGCATGACTGCATTGTGACAAGTGTAAAGTTTTTGGTGGAAGGGGGATTATGGTGTGGGGTTGTTTTTTCAGGCGTTGGGGCTTGGCCCCTTAGATCCAGTGAAGAGAACTCTTAAGGCATCAGCATACCAAGACATTTTGGACAATTTCATGCTCTCAACTTTGTGAAACAGTTTGGGGATGGCCCCTTCCTGGTCCAACATGACTGCGCACCACTGCACAAAGCAAGGTGCATAAAGACATGGATGAGCGAGTTTGGGGTGGAGGAACTTAACTGGCCTGCACAGAGTCCTCTGTCTGGCAATCCGATGGACGTGTCTGGGTTTGGCGGTTGCCAGGAGAGCGGTAATTGCATGACTGCATTGTGACAAGTGTAAAGTTTTTGGTGGAAGGGGGATTATGGTGTGGGGTTGTTTTTTCAGGCGTTGGGGCTTGGCCCCTTAGATCCAGTGAAGAGAACTCTTAAGGCATCAGCATACCAAGACATTTTGGACAATTTCATGCTCTCAACTTTGTGAAACAGTTTGGGGATGGCCCCTTCCTGGTCCAACATGACTGCGCACCACTGCACAAAGCAAGGTGCATAAAGACATGGATGAGCGAGTTTGGGGTGGAGGAACTTAACTGGCCTGCACAGAGTCCTGACCTCAACCTGATGGAACACCTTTGGGATGAATTAGAGCAGAAACTGCGAGCCTGGCCTTCTCGTCCAACATCCGTACCTGACCTCACATGTGCTTCTGGAAGGATGGTCAAACATTCCCATAGACACACTCCTAAACCTTGTGGACGCCTTCCCAGAAGAGTTGAAGCTGTTATAGCTGCAAAGGGCGGAGCTAACTCAATATTGAACCCTACGGACTAAGACTGGGATGCCATTAAAGTTCATGTGCGTGTAAAGGCCGGCGCCCCAATACTTTTGGTAATATAGTATATGTTGCAAGGTGGATAGGTAAAGGTAGCCATACACCTTACAATAATTTCATCCCGTCATCGAACCCCTGTTCTATTTCTGCTGGAATACCCCATCATGCACAGATCAATGTAACTGATTACCGTTCGTTAGCATCGATCGTTGATCATTCACTTCCCATCAACTGGCCGATTTATCGTACGAAAACCCGATCTCATTTGTTTTTCAAACGATAACCGCAAGATGTACGGGCACTCTAGTTTTCTTACATTGTGACTGTAAAATTTTACCACAAATTTTGTTTAATTCTGGCTTATAGTACTCTGACAAATGTGTCCACTTGGTCTGATGTATATTTCACTCTCAAAGTTCATAACTCAGTTGTTTATTAATATGTTTAATTTCTACCAAGGTCTATTAGATTGGAAACCTTCTGTCCCTTTCATGGGATGTCCCCGACAGTAGATTATACACTGACTCTGTCCCTTCCGTAGGATGTCCCCAGTAGTAGACTATACATTTGACTCTGTCCCTAAAGGTGGACTATACACTGACTGTCCCTTCCTTAGGCTGTCCCTGGCAGTAGACTATACACTGACTCTGTCCCTTCCATAGGATGCCCCCGGCAGTAGACTATACACTGACTCTGTCCCTTCCATGAGATGTCCCCGGCAGTAGACTATACACTGACTCTGTCCCTTCCATAGGATGCCCCCGGCAGTAGACTATACATTGACTCTGTCCCTTCCATAGGATGTCCCCGGCAGTAGACTATACACTGACTCTGTCCCTTCCATGAGATGTCCCCGGCAGTAGACTATACACTGACTCTGTCCCTTCCATGAGATGTCCCCGGCAGTAGACTATACATTTCACTCTGTCCTTTCCATAGCATGTCCCTGACCGTAGACTATACATTGACTTTGTCCCTTCCACGGAAAGTCCCAGACAGTAGAATACACATTTGACTCTGTCCCTGGCAGTAGACTAGACATTAAATTGTCACATACATTCATACATAAGGTGCTGGGTTAGTACAACAGAAGTTAATCACTTATTCTCTATAACTTCTCAGGCTTTTCATATCTCTATAGCAGCAAGTCGCATGTCCATTCTCCCTTCCATCCCTTTGATTCAGTTAGTTCCCCAAATGGTGCTTGTAGAAGGCTGATTTCAGTGTACGTTTGCCCCCTCCAAAACACTGATCGTCTTTGTAATGCAGAAGAATTGGTGCCGGTCAAACCAGCGAAGGAAAAACAGTGTTCTGGCCATGAACACATAAAACAATTGGCCACGTGTATCTAGCAGGATGACTGTCGTCCCTTTGTGCTCTATTTCCATGGCAGATGAGGCCAAGTTCCGTGGGAAGGGTATCTGTAGATTCATTGAGTGGATACATGCACATAAACCGCATCGTGACTGAAGTGTACGGAAGGTGTCATTCATGTTGAAGATTTTTGGGGGATCTTCTGAAACCTAGACCTCATTGCCAAGCATTCTACTTTTTGACACCTCTGGAATATTCTACAATTCAGCTGCTAGCACAAAAACCAATCCCACTTCTCTGCAAATTCCTCTTTTTACATCTGATTCTATAGTACAAATTAAAGTGGTCTCGAGGAAACATTCAGCTGGTGGGTTTTCTAAAGTCTCCTAGAAGTTAGGATATAAGGCATCAGTGTATGGCGTACCTGGCTGAGCAGGCTTCTACTGTAGAATAAAACAGTGTACACAGTAAGTTCTAGAGATCATACGTTGCTGATCCTCACGCTTAGTGGGCTTCCGTCTTTCTCCGGCTTATCCCTGAATGATTCTTCCAGTTTCAGCTTTTCAGAGTCTCCGCTGCGAACAGTCTCGTGAAAGCAGCACGGCGGAGACACTTTAAGTACTTGATCGAATAAACTAAAGTCCGCTACGTACTTTCCACTGGAGGACAAGGAAATGATTGGACTAAACTCATAACCCCATAGAATCTCCTCTGGCAGGTAGGATGTCCGGACCTGACAGGTTGCACTGGTGGACTCCACTGTCCCGCTGAGGATGACCACCAGTTCAAAGTCCCCTTCGCCAGAACGAATGGCCACGTCCTTAAGAGGGCTAGATTCGTCAACCACGTGATAGAAAAGGAGCGGAAGGATTAAAAATGGGCTGTCGGAGGCTGTGTCCACTTGGAAGTCTACGTTAATCTGGTTCAGGTGGACATTCTCGCCCTCTTTTGTGGCCTGGGTCTGAAGAAGCTTTCCAGTCACTTGGCATCCAATGAGTAGACTTTTGCGCATGTTGGCCACTCGAATCATTAGGCACAGTTTGCCTTCATTCTGAGTCACCACGGCGTTCTGACTGAATTTAATAGTCTCTGCTCTCTTTTTTGGACGGGCAATTTTTGCCAAGAAAGTTCCAGTGATGAAAATTTCCAGGATTGTGGTTAAAACCAGCTGGCTGATGAGTAGAACGATGGCCAGAGGGCATTCCTCGCTTATGTAACGGAAGCCGTAGCCGATGGTGGTCTGCGATTCCAGTGAGAAGAGGAACGCCCCAGTTAAAGTGTGGACCTGCATGACACAAGGCGTGTGGTTAGCCGGCGCATCGAATTCCAGGAGATCGCCATGGATTAAGGCCACCAAGTACCAGATTACCCCGAAAATAAACCAAGTTCCAGCAAACGTGGCTGAGAAGAGAAGCAGCTTGTATCGCCATTGCATGTCAATGAATGTCGTCCACAGGTCCTTGAGGTAGAGAAAACTCTTATCGGCGATGTGGTCCATGCGCACGTTGCTCCGCCCATCCTTGGTCATTACACGCCTGCGTCTTAGGTTGGTGCCAATCAGAGGCCGACTGTCTGTCTGGGTGGTCTGGCTGTAATAGACCTTCACTGGGGACGTCATCTGTGGAGATCAGAAGAGAAGGAACGTTAGATTGGCCACAATGGAGGCAGCAGAGGACCGTGCGGACAATTGAGAAAACCCAAGTGGATTATTGTAAAGGACGGAGTGCAAAATGCAGTAACCATAGCAACCCAGGTCTCTGTTAAAGGAAAATGCAGTGATGGGCATGGGTCACTACGTTGTGCCCTTTTAGAACTGCAGCTATAATGACTGACTCATGACAAACGTTTGCTGGGCTTATTCTGTGTAGAACGGCTCTAGATCAGGGACTGATCTATGAATGCTCGAGGAGCCATTGCCCATAGCAACCAATTGAGTCTCCCCTTCACCATGTCTAATACAGTCTGCAGATTCTTTCATTATGAAAGTGAGCACAACATTATTTTTACATTGCATGAATGTGGAAGAGGGACGGATATAATTACTGTCTACAATCAGATTATGGATAGATATTAAGTCATAATTGTGCTCAACTGGAAATAGAAATGCTGATACCGAGCCGCTGGAGCCTTCACAAAGTCAGCAATGGTGAGTGGATCCCAAAGAGTTTAAACAGCAGTCAGGCTGTTGAAGGAGAAATTCATTATTACGCATATTTCCTGATCGGAGGGAGGGGGAGTGTGGCAGACAACCCAGGTGTGATAGCGGCAGTCTCAGATGCCTCTGTTGCCACCCAGGGCTGGATTTCCCACAAGGCCACTGAGGCCCCCCCCCCTCGGGGCAGCATGGAGTAGAGGGGCAGCACAGCAGCCGAGCGGGTAGTTTGTCTACATTTAGCTCTGCTCCAGGCAAGCAGGACTAAATGTAGAGCGGGGAAGCCACTGCTCGTTTAGTACAAGTGATCTCAGCCATGCCATCGAGATCATTTGTAATATGCCTGCAGGTCCATCCCCTCCCCTCCATGGTCTGCCCCCACCTCCGGCTGCCTCTCACCACTGGTCCTAATTTTGAAAAATAAGTAAGAAATAATTAAAATAAAAAAAATAAAGTGTGTAGCCCCCTCCACCTTCTGTGATGTGGCTACTAGACATTTAGTGATAGCCAGGGCTGTAGTCGGCCTGGCTGGATTATAGTGGCAGTTATCTGGTTAATTCCAGGTGTCAGCCAATGAGAGACACTGTAGTGTATGTACAGTACAGCAGCCAATCACTGGGTTTCTCTCAGCCAGTGGTGCATGCTGGGATAGGCTACATATACTGGAGGGATTGGCCATGTGCTCAGACTAGCCGGGACCTGCCATGGAATTGGGCTGGGTGCTGTTCAGCCACCCCCCAGGCTAGGCCTAAGGCCTGGGGTGGGCATGGGCTGGTGTGAGGGAAAGGTTTCCCTGAGGCCTCCAACATGGAGGAGGTCTGTGTCGCTGTTAGAGGAAGAGAACCGGGACCAATGCAGGCTCTTGAAGTGCCCTGGAACTAAGAGGACTTCAGGAGTATGGTTGGTGTCTTTTCTGTGTTGAGGATCTGTATCCATCCTGCTTATCTGCTACATCAGTTGCCATCCGCTGCCTCTCAAGTGGATCTACACAGATATGCCAACCAGGTCTGGTGAGTCTGGAGCACTTGTTGGTTACCTTTGGAAGCAGGGCCACCATCAGGGGGGTACGGCCGATACTCATGTAAGGGGCCCGGGCAGCCTTTGAGGCCCGCCGGGGACCCTTACATGAGTATCGGCCGACGGTGACAGGTGAGGATTCGGCCGGGCCCCCCGCAGCGCTGGGCCCCAGCATCCAGCGGTATCGGAGTAGGCTGGAGCCCCATCTGCGATGCTGCTTTTTTGATCTTGGGCTGGCCGGAAGTGACATCACGTCACTTCCGGCCCGTCCAGGTTCGGAGGAGGCCAGGCACTGGTGGAACTACAAGGGTCGCAATTGGCACCTGGCCCTGGCATTCTGCCAGGGGGGCATCATAAGGGTAAAATTTAACATATTACTTGGCTGCCGACTCCCTCTCTCTCTTCTCCCGCTGCTCTGCAGGCACTGCCAGGACCAGCTCTGCACCTGAGGGCGCCGGGAAGGAGGGGGTCTAGGAGCTGTGTCAGATAGAAACAAGCCGGGGGGGAGAGGGTGGGTGGGCGAGCGAGCTGTCAGCAGCCCTAACCCTGCACTCTATCCACCTGAGACACTGCAGAGCCCTGGTGAGACCGCCTGCAGCCCTAGTGAGAGTGCTTGGTGTAGCTATAATAATAACAGTGTGCCTGGCTCGGGGGGATGAACCGGGCAATTAGCGGCTCCTTCGGAGGCGAGCGCTACAAGTTAAAGAGTAAAACATGATAAAATAAACTAAAAGATAATGGCTAGAAATTTAGATTTAGATTTAGTGCTAGCAAACTGAGAATGATGGTCACTGGGGTCAGGTTAACATTGCAGCTAACCCTTTGCACACACAAACAATGGCATTCACCAAGAGCTCACAGCAACTGCTATAGCAGTTCTGACATTCGCTGCCACACCCAGACAGGCATGAAACAGAGTTGAAAATGACAGCTTGATGAGGGCCCTCATCCATAATTTTGATGGTAAACAAGAGCTGAAGATGCCAATCGCAGCAGCTTTTTGTTGACTCTCTAGAGCAGGAGTAGGCAACCTTGGCCCTCCAGTTGTGGGGAAACTACACATCCCATGTGGCATTGCGAGCCACTGACAGCCCCAGGTGTGACTCTTAAAGGTTAATCGGAATTGTAGTTTCGCCATAGCTGTGCCATGGTTGCCTACCCCTCGCCTAGCCCATTCTTTGTGTGATATACACTGAGTGGCCAGATTATTATGACCGCCCCATCAGTACTTCGTTGGGCCACGAGATGACTTTGTTGGGCCGCCTCGTGACTCCACGCGATGGTGAAAGGTGATGCGAGGAAGCTGACACTGCACTGTTGACCTTCTGTTGTCTTGTACCAGTCTTGCCACTCTCCGTTCTGCCCTAACATTGACTAGTCGCTGACGGCCACAATTCGCACGCTCAGACCCAGATTTGCGGCTGACAGTGCAGTCTTTAAACACTTTAACAACAGCTGCTCTTGAACATTTAATGAATTCTGCTGTTTTTCTGATACTCGCTCCATGGCTCCGAGCGCCAACAATCATCCCACGTTCAAAGGCTGTTAAATCGCGTTGTTTACCCATATCTTCAGAAACAAATCACTTCTACTGTCGTGGTAAACAACCTGCTTCCCTATTTATAATGGTCTGGCCCTCTAGAAACTTCAGCGTGAAATTATAGCTAATTTGCCTACAAACGTCAGGTGGTCATAATAATCTGGCCACTCAGTGTAGGTGAGGCGTTTAGATTTCATGAGTGTGGGGGGCTGCCAATACTGGCCATCTTTTGAAAATGCTGGTTTTCTAGCTGTCTGCCATTCCCGGTCAAAAGCCAAAGCATCAGTATGCCTTCCAGGAAAGGGGGGGGTCACTACTTGGCAGCACCCATACATTAAGCTGCAAATATTTAATTGGCAGGTTGTCACCTAGGGATGGACATATTTATACACTAGGTTTAGGATTATGGTGGTCTGGCCAGTTGGGCTCATACAACAGATCTTGGAAGTCCCTTCAGGAGACCCTTTAAGACCCCGTTCACACCGGGGCGGTTCGACCGCACGGATCCGCCGATATGAACGATCCCATACATTGCTATGGGGACCGTTCATGCGACCGCGCGATCCGAACTGCCCCCTGCACTATTTTTGGTGCGCTGATCAGTGCGGTTTCCATAAGGCTGGGTTCACACCTAGGCGTATTGCAAAAGCGCGTCTGTCGCGCGGTTTTTTTACCACGATTCGCGTGATTCCAAAGGCTACTTGGCTGTATCTCAATGGAAAACGCCCTACAAAACGGCCCAAAGTAGTCCCGGGACCTTTTCAGGCGTGGGCCGTTTTGTAGGGCGTTAGGGACGGGCGGAAATACGCCTAGGTGGGAACGAGACCATTGAATACAATGCTATTTATTTTTGTGACCGTTTTGTAGCGCGTTCGTCGAGCGTAGGACGCGCTACAAAACGGTCAGGTGTGAACCCAGCCTTACTGCGCTGATCTCAAAAGGGGGGTTTTAGGGGTTTCAGTGCTGAAACGCAATTAAAAACGCCTAAAATCGAGCTGATCATTCCATTGAAACCTTTATAGGTGTGAACCCAGCCTAACCGTGCTGATCTGCAACCACCCTGGTGTGAATGGGCTCAGAGCTGAGAACCTTTTCCATCCTGCAAGGTGATGTGTGCGTGTATAGGGGGGTCATTGCTACATTGTAATCTTTCTCCAGCCACAGCTGCAGGCTGATGATTTATAATGGAATCTGCACATGTAGAGAGTCCCTCATCCTTGCACTTTCCTCCAAGATGGTCTGCTGCCAGGCCAGAGACATGGCGGAAGAGAGATTCTCATGGCTGCTCAGATGGAACCATAAAGGCCGTGACACACTGCACACGAAGCCGTGCAGAGCGAAGCAAAGCTCTCCGGCACGGAGCTTCGCGTGCAGTGTGTCACGGCCTTTACACTGCCGGAGGAGCAGCTCCTGGGGGTTCCCAGGGTGATCTGCTGCCTGAATGATGGAATCAATGAGGAGAGAAAGAGAGCCTGTCTATGCAACAATGCTTAGCATGAAAGGAGACCTCTGGGGCTGCTCTGTTCCCAGGATAGAGGAACCGCTGTGAAGGTAAATGAATGGGAAAGTCTTATAACAGCATGACCCAATTCTACAGAAATGTTCTACTGGTCAGGACAAAGATCATTTCTATCTGTGCTTAGAGCCCATTACAAGCCAACCTTTCCAGTTATTGGTGGACACTGGGGGGGAGATATCATCATCTGGCTGCCTGTATCTCCCATAGATTCCAAAGTGAGATTTCCGCCATTAGTTTGTGTCTCTGCCCCTCCCACAATGGAGAGATTTCCTCTAGTAGTTTGTGTCTCTGCCCCTCCCACAATGGAGAGATTTCCTGCAGTAGTTTGTATCTCTGCCCCTCCCACAATGGGGATATTTCCCCCAGTAGTTTCTCTCTGCCCCTCCAATT